ACCAGTGTGTTGTTTTGTTTTGTTAATGGTTGGTTGGTTTTTATATCTGTTAAGTACCCAGAAATCACCCTTCAAGTCACAGTCTTATATCCATTCTCTTTAAAAGGACAGACATGCTCATAAATGATGAGCTTTCTATATCAAGCTAGAATCCAATTCTTCCATAGCCTTATTTGTATTTGTGCCTCCTTAAACTTCTCTGACAATGGTTTCTAAATGATCTAGGGTGTTTCTAGAAAAAAACAAAGATAGATGGATAGATAGAAATTTTTACAATACCCAGGGCGACAACAAACAGAGAGAGAGAGAGAGAAAAAGTCCTCCCTAATGATAATTAGCTTTATTCTGCACATGAGATTGTGTTACCCTTGTCTTGGCAGGCAAAGGTTACCCTTCTTCATAAATTTTATCCCACCCACAGACCAATCTAATTATAGCAAATAATTTCATCAATTCACAATTCTGCTTTTCTCCAACCTGCCCATTATTTTCTATATTTCAGCAATAAGCTAGTACAAAAATTGCATGTTTCATTACCAACTCAACGTCTCTCTAAAAATGATGCATCCCGAAGTCAATTTCTTCCCCACCCTGCATCAAGAGTGCTATATTCCTCAGTCTTCCACACCATAAAATCTCTATTCAATAAAGAGTGGTTAATTTTTGATCAGGGAAGTGGGGGTTGTAATATTTTCACAACACTGGCAATATTACAGAAACAGAGAAGCAATATTTTATTTGTCAGTGTGGGATGGTAGAAAAAGCACCAGATTGGGAGCCAGCGAATCTAGAGACTTGTTAGCTGTGCGACCTTGGCCAGGTCCCTTTATCTTTCTGAGGTTCAGGTTCATCATCTATAAAAATATCACCCATCTTCTAAGGTTATTTTGGGGCTCAAATAAAAGAAGTAAAAATATTTGAAAATATGAAAGAGTTATGTAAACATGGAATATGATTATTATTATTTAAAATAACACATAACTTTTTAAAGGCTTAGCTTCTATGCCATTGGCCTGTGGCTCTACATTCCTGAAGAAAATGCCCAGATTGAATCTACCTACCATATGTGCCCCCATTTTTACTATTTGGCCCCAAACAAATCTTCCTGCCATCTCCTTGTGTGGGTTGATTTTTGGTTTTTTGGTTTTTGTTTTTGTTTGTTTGTTTGTTTGTTTTTTGGCTTCAGTTCTCTGTGGTTTGGGGTTTGTTTTGTTTTGTCTTGTTTTGTTTTGTTTTGCTGTGTTGCTATCTGAGTTATTGATTTTGTAGCTTTCCTCCATAAAGGAAGTGAAAATTTTCATAGGCAGAAATTCATCTCCATACACGCTGTCATTCCATCACTTCACTGCACCGAGGGGGACAGCCTACAGAACCCTAAACCTTTCTTTAAAGACCCCAGTGATATATGAACATTCATTTCAAAGCTCTCCCACTAGAGTCGTTCTGATCCGGGCAGCTCTGGGACTGTTTGAACACGGTCTATATGAAGTCAGCTTCTCAGACACTTCTCACCGTCATGTCGCCAACAGGCTGAATCAACCACATGCAGTAATGAAAACATCCTGTATTTATAGGAGTATTTCTCCAAGGAACATCCTTCAGCAGGAATGCCTGAAAGAGTTCTAGGAATTGAAGGACATATTTCAGACATGTCCAACCTGTCTCGAAACCCCTATAAAAATGGTCAAGATACCAAATTGTGCCTTTCCCCGCCTCGTGCTGTAAAATGAAACGAGAGAGTTGTTTGGCTTTATGGCTCTCCCTGTCATTGTGTCTTTTTGCTATTACACGGGTGTGAAAAAATAAATAAAAATAAGCTATATTAAGCATTATGCCATGTCGCCACCTTACCAAGCAGCTACATAACTTCAACTGTGATTTTGTTTTAAGGAATTTTTTTAAACATCAGTCTGTGCAAAGTCGTCTACAAGCATAGAATTTTTAGATTTCCCCCCGCCCCAGACAACGCTCTTGGCATCCAGAAATACTGGAAGGAGACAAAAAACGATGTGGAGGATTTATAGCAAACCAAAGTTTACATTTTCTTTTCCTTAAAGTGAAAGGGAGTTAGACTACATTTACTTTAAGATCCTTGTACTGCTTAAATTCTTGAAATACATTTAAAAAAGCAAACTGAATAGTTAATTATTGCACAGGAGAAGATAAAATAGATATTTTTCAAAAGCTTTTCCATGGATAGCCTTGATTTAAAGTGACCTAAGAGCAGAAAGACTCCCAGAATTTCTGGGACAAGTGGTTGTTGATTATTTCCTAGGTCATGGGTGGGAGAGGGGTGGGAGCCGAATTCCCCCAGAGGAAGGTGTTCACACACCAAAGGCCCTGTAATGGGCATCCATTTCAGAAAGGTAGACAAGATATTAAACCCCACTTGGAGACTGGTGAAGGTAGATCGAACCCATTGATCAGGGATCTTTGCTCAAGGGTTGGTACTGACCCAAATATTCTAATTTTCAACCATCCCCTTTTCTGTCCTAGCCAGATTTGGAGAACTGCTCATAATTCGGGAGTTCTTTGCTTAAAACACAAGTTTAAAAGAAGTGAAGTAAGTAGAGGTAAAAAGTATCCCTTGATCACTATTTAATACCATGAAGACCGAACATAAACCACTATGTTTTGAGCATCTATGTGGCAGGAACTGGAAAGATGCATGTATGGCCTTAGTCCAGTGTGGCCAAAAATGGTTCTCTGTTCTCTCCATGACCCTTGCCCCTTCCCACCTGCACCCCAGGAGGTGACTTCAGCATAGTTACTCAAAATGATATCACTTCTTGCAATGTGGTCACTATGGGCAAAAGGATGTTCTACTCTGAGGAATTATGGCATGGGGAACAGCTATGCCTATACCATGTAGGACCTTGAGAACCTACCATTCCAATGATCCTCCCTCATCGCCCTCTAAAGGTGGAGACAGGAGCAAGAGTTTCACCAGCCTTGGCCATCCTACTGCCAGGAAAATGGAGCTAGAACAGTGATGGAATAGGGGGAGATGATAGGAAAGAATGAGAGAGAGAAAGGGAGGGAGAGAGAGAGGAAGGAAGGGAGGAAGAAAAGACAAGACAAGACTGCTGTGACACCCACCAAAGACTGATTCAGTAGGCCTAAAAGGCAACCCGTTGGAGGAAGTTTTATACCTCACTTTGGACTTTGTGCATACTCATGATGATCATCTTAGACTGAGCTCTTTTAAGTAATATACTGTTTCTCAAGCCCTCCTAGATGCTGTAGGGTTATAAGATCCTTATTACAACCTACAAGGTCCAGGAGAAGAAATTAAAACCAAGAAAAGCTGTGTAATTTGCACAAAGACACCAAGCTAGCAAGTAGCAGAGCTAGGATTCCAGCCCAGGGCTTCCTGACACCAAAAGCTATGTCTTAGTCACCACACAGCATACAGTAATGGCAACCCTCCTGCTATGCCTCCTCTGTCCCACTAATATACATAAGTCATATAAAAATTCTATTTTCATCATTTTCTTTAAAACAGCTATTTGTGCTGATGGTATGTTTATTCACATATTTCTATGTGCACCATAATATTTGAAATATCTTCTTCCACTATTCATTTCACATTTATTCAACACATAGCTCCTAAGTTCCTAAGCTAAGCCAGGCATTGTGCTGGGTGTTTAGGAAGTCACAGTCCACTGGAAGAGATCACATTAAAATGAAAATAAGTGCTTGGTTTCCCATGGTACAGTAAGGCGTAACCAAGAGATTAGAGCTTGCTTATTGAGCTGCAATCCAAAACCACATTATTGGGCTATAATTTCCTATTTGATTGACAAGAAAGGACTGAGCAACTGGCCCAAGGTCAAGCAGCTAGTCAGCAGCAGTTCATTTCACTTACTTTATTGTCTCTGACATATCATGTTTTCATGATTCACCCTCACTTAATAGCCTTATGTAATGTTCAAAACATATTTTACGTTTTGCAGACATGCTTTAAATTTAAGGCCAAAGAAGCAAAAGTGACAAAAGCTACCATTGGGCTCGATCACATTTTGACTGCCAGCTTTCAGAACAGCAGAGCGCTACAAGGTTGGGCTTCCCCCCAAGCATATTTCCAGGCTATGGAAGCAGTTAATTCTGCCCTAAATGCATGCTGTGTCCTCATCTCCTCGGTAGCCCTCTATCCGGGCTGAGACTTAATTGGTTTGGGTTGGGTAATTCATAGTGCCTCATTAGGGCATCAAAACACATACTAGGCTCTCTAGTAATTTTCTCCCCTGAAAGAACATTGATTGGCTCCTTCATTGGGAAAGGAATTAGCTAAAGGACTCTTGGGTTTGTGCAAAGAGATTAAGTCCACAATGGATCATTTCAAAGTGTGTTCTACAATCAGATTTCTTTGAGCTTTATCTGTCCGATCAAATTTCTCTTCTCTTGATAAAATCTCTTGCACACCTACCCAATAGCAAGTGAATGTTAGTTACCTTGCAGAAATTACGTAAACCCTAAGGATTTTAAAGTTTTCACTGGCCAGTCTTCCAGTTTTCTTTTGTCTGAGATGAACGTTGTTAATGCACTGGTAGGAAAACCACTGAAAGATGGCTCTTCTTACTCTGCCTCCTGCTCTCACTGTAACAGGCTCAGTCAGTGCCCTGTCCATAGCCATTCACCTCTACACCAGTGCTAACTGTGAATACCTTCAATTCTCTGCTTACATTTTCTGGCTTCAAGGGATGGGTCAGCACTTCTATGGAGCAAACCAGTGTGTTAGGGTGTTGGTGCCCCTGGAATCAACCAATGACAGAGGGTATTGGTGAATAAATATCCCAGCTTCCTGGGCAGAATAAGCTCCAGTTGCCTAAAGTGATGACTGGCCTAAGAACACACCCCTTTATTGGCCTCTTTCTTTCCCTGTCTCACTTCCTCACTCCACTGTAAGGGTTTCCTGGGATCATCTCCCCAAAATTTCACTTCCACTTGACTCCTTGCCTTAGGGTCTGTTTCTGAAGAACCAAAAGGAAAATACTTACCATGGTCCAGTCTTTGAAAGTCTTCGACTTTCACCATCTGACATTTAAAACTTGAGGTCATTAAAACAGCTTTCCTGCTGTGGTAGGGGCAGAGCTTTCTCAGTTGACTTTCTGTTCACCAAATAATCCAGACATATCTTGGTGGGTAAACTGTCCAGGAGCCTGTCTTCATTAAGGTTCAAGAAACTTCCTGGAAAATAACTTAGCCTAAAAGAAGAGAGAAATGAGACCTAACAAACTGGCCCCAAGGCTTGAGATCAGTATTGGTGGAAGGACACGATGTGGGTTGGCCAGTTTTGAGCAGCATGTGAATAAACCTCCTACATTCTCCTACTCAGGATATCCTTGCTCCAGACCTATGATCTTCTAAAGGCCCTCTAGTGGAAAATGGTAGGGGCAAGGGGGGAGAGTAATGAAAAAGAAGTAAATGAAGCTAGAATAAATGAAATGGTTGCTTTCCTTACAGTTTCCAAAGGAGATCAAAACAGAAACTTGCTCTGTTTTTTGTTATCGTATCCTATTTTTACCCTCAGATCAGTATGTCACGGGGAAGCATTAGTAAAACTTTGATCAGCATCCCATAAATATCACTTCCCTGACAACAGCCAGCCTTGGTGCAGCCAAGACATCCAATTCCTAAAAACCTGCAAACTCTTCCCTCAAGATAACATTCTGGGACTTTCCTACTGGAAAACAAAGTAAAGCCATTCCCTTCTCTCCAATCATACAAAATAGGCATTAGGCATATTGCCATCAACAGTCTTGAGAGGGTTGACCTGCTGGCTTTCTTTGTTATCCCTTGCTTTCTTATAAAATTGATATGACCCCTAGTATCAGCATGAACAAAATTGTGAATGGGACCTACTCATGGGATTATGGATTCTGAATCCTCCAGGAGTGTCCATAATGCCCCTGTCAGTTGGTTTTGCCCTTGGGTATCTAATTTAACTGACAAATCTGAAGAATCACGTGGAGGCAGCCACCTCCCCAGCAACTTCACAGATGGGAACCCTGCAGTGAGTAAGTTATTCCAGCAAGTTTGACATTAGCTTATGTTGAACATTCTCCTGACAGGTCTGCTCATTTCTTAACAGCAAAAAACAGCTCACTGTTATTAGGCATGAGTCTCCCTTGACTTGATAAATACTATGGCCCCATTTTTGGCTGTTTTTATGGACATCCTAAAGGCATCTGAATATGGCATTTTACATTTGGCAGACGCTGATCAACAACAATTTTTTCTAATTAGTCTTGGAAGCCTCAGCCTTAAATGCACAGGGTCAAATATCCCAACAAGTGAAGGATATCCAACTCTGTGGACAAGTGCACTTTTGAGGGTGAATGGAGGTAGGGAGGGCATTCATACTGCCTGAGCACATGTGGGCACATTTTGCAAAATCAACTTAGCTGCAAATTTAACCTGAAATCAAATCATGTCTTGGCATTATGCCTAGCAGGCATTATATAGTTGTTAGCTTCAATCACAAGAACAATTACTTCAAGTTATGGTGCAGACCAGTTTTAAAAGTCCTCAGGCCAGCAAAGTCTTCCCAGGATGCAGCTAGCTGCAAAAAAAAAAAAAAAAAAAAAAAATCAGTGGATGAAAGAAGTGCAATACTTTACACTTTCAGCTTTTATTAATATTTTGTCAGTCAATTGGCAACAGGCACAGAGCCCTGGCATTACACCAAACATCATGTGTATAGTGCCAGGAGAGTACAAATGAATGAGGAAGACATGACCTATGGGCTCAGAAAATGCAAAGTCTACACAGAGAGTCAGACCATACTGACTAAGCACACCCATAACTGGAGGGAAAATACAGAACTATATGTAAAGATGAGATCATGAATGCAAAGAACTTAGTTCCATGCTAAGGAAGCCTACAGTAAAGACCAAGTGAGGAGTAGCTGTTATTATTATTTTATGAGAAAGCTTAATTCCATTAATACTGAGAGGGAACAAACTCACGTTGAAGGGGAATGAGTTCTGAGTCAGATTATGAAGGACTGGGAGTCAGGCTGGAGTAGAGAAAACATGAGGCCCATTCCCACCAGAGAGAGCTGCTTAAACCACAACACGTTTGCGGAACTGGGTCAAATTTGTACAAGGGGTAGCAGGTCTGGCTTACCTCAAATATTCCAACAAGGAGAGGTTAAAATAGGAGATTAGCATTCTCTTTAGTGGGTGGGCATTCTCGTCAGTGACTAGGCAGAAAGTTTAGATTTAATAGAGTCAAAAAATAACAATCTACCATTGACTTTGTAAGCGGACCAGCCACGTAATTTTCAGGGCCTGGTGCAAAACAAAACTTTGGGGCCTCTTGTTCAAAATTATTAAGAATTTCAAGACGGTGGGGGCACCTGGGTGGCTCAGTCAGGTAAGCATCTCTTGATTATGGCTCAGCTCATGGTCTCTGGGTCCTGGAATTGAGCTCTGTGTCAGGCTCCACACTCAGTAGGGGGTCTGCTTGAGGATTCTCTCTCCATCTCCCTCTGCCTCTTACCTCACCTCTCTCTCTGTCTCTCAAATAAATAAATCTTAAAAAAAAAAGAAGAAGAAGAAGAAGAAGAAGAATTTCAAGACCATGACAGAGGAGTATTAAACCAAGTATGGAACCCTTCTGAGCCCAGAGCCCTTTGTGTATGCACAGGTCACGTGCCTGTGAAACCTGCCTTATCATTCAGGGTGTGATAGTGCAAATACTTCCCAAAGACTATGATTCCAGCATCTGCTCATGAGATGCATTGGAAAAGGAAAATATTTGAGGTAGAAATACCCACAAAGTGACTCTTTACTGTAATTTGCCAAGAGGCATTGCGGAGAAAAATTTAGGAGAAGTTGACCACAAAAAGATGTAAGGCATAAAGGACAAAGAGAGGTTGAGGTTGAAATCACCTCAAGTTAAGTAGGAGGATTAGAACAAGGGAAAATATGGTAGGCGTGCTTTTTTAACTGACCAACTCATTTCATTAACCAATGGTGTTACTCCCTCTGTAAAATGTGCTCACCTCTGTCCCAGCACACTGCATGCTAGCACAAGATGGAAGCTCCAGAAGGGCAAAGGTTTTTGTCAGTTTTGTTCATTCCTATATTCCCAGGTACGTGACATATAATAGTCAGTGCCTGGTATATAGCAGTCACTAAACAAATGTTGAACGAATGAATGAATGAACCCGTGTTAGTAGATGCTTCTCTAAAACACTGTGATTCTACTATAAATTGATCTCCTATATCCTTATGTAAAGACAATTACTTTCCCAAACCTGTTCATGTCATTTGTATTTGCTATCGTAATCATGTGATTTAATCAATTACGGAAAGCAATGAAGTGTGTATGTGAAGAGTTGTTTTTACAAAAACAAAGTTTTTGAATCCTTAGAAAGACTCGGTAAAGGCTGGTTGTTAGGGGAAATTGTATCAGTTAGATGTGGAAAACACAACCATGAAAAAAGAGGGGGAAATACATAAAATGCTATAATTCTTGACTCAGGTTGCTTTGCAAAGGCCTCTACACTCTCACTCCACTTTAAACAGATGGAAACGGGAAACTGTAGCCTATTATGGATGTGCTTAATTCAAGAAACACCATGCAGATGTCATGCAGCAGACTCATGCTCGAAGAAAAGCTCTCAGCCCTATATCAAAAGACAGGTGAAGACTGTAACGTATATGCCATATGTCTGCACAATGTATTTATTATTTTTTTGTAATTTCTACTTTAACTGAGTTTTTTTTGTTTGTCACTTATTGTTACCATTTATTGAGTACCTACTATGTGCTGGGCATAGTAATACCCGCTCTATTCACATTATATGTGGGTGGCAACCCTGCCAGGTAGAAGTAGCCTTAGTCCCATTTTATAGACAAAGAATGTAACACTCAGTTGCTTTAGTTAAGTTTTTACTTGCCTCAAGGCTACACAGAAAGGGCCAGAGCTGGATATAAACCCAAGATCCTCTGGCTCCAAATCCCAGCGTCTTCCTACCATATCACAATTAAGTGATTTGCTCAAAGTAACTGAGGTCTTCCTACTATAAACCTAATTTACTTTCCATTACATCAAGTTAACTGAATATTTTAATGAGCTGACCAACTACCAGGTCTGATTGCATCAGATAAGAATAAACCAAAATAAAATCGAATAAATAAGTGAATACATAAGCAAACTAATTTAAGGGAGATAAACCAAAATGTCAGCATATGATGCCAATGGCCTAATTATAGATTATAATTATATGCTATATAATTATAGTTATAGATAATAGATTTATATTTATAATTTAATTTCTTTATTATTTAACATTTATATTTAACATATATTTTAATTTCTACTGACCCAATTATTTGCATTGCCTATCCTGGGAAGTCCCTTCCTGATATCAAGCTACCCGGGAGGTGAATTTTAATCAGAATTTTGATTGGTGAACATAGAGTAAAAATTGCTTTGGGAGGATGTTTTATGCAAACTCTAGACAAGCCTGATGAAATATCCCTATTCCATAACCAAATACACCACTCTGATGACCAGATAATGAAAATCCCAAATTCGATACCTTTTACATCAAAAGTATGAGTTCCTTTGGAGTGGAGAAAGTGGTATGGAACAAAACTGATAAGCTATATGTGATAGGCAGAATGGCCCCCAAAGTTGTCCAAGCCCTCCTCCCTGGAACCTGCGAATATGTTTCCTAACACGGCAAGAGGGGCTCTGCAGATGTAATTAAGGTCAAGGACAGGGATTATCCAGGTGGGCCCAATCTAATCACATAAACTCTTAGAAGAAGTGAATTGTATTTTCTATCACACACCCATTTATATTTTCCACATCTCTGCTGAACATTTATTTCTTACATAATTAGGGAAAGCTTTGCGAATTCAAATGAAAAGAAAAGAAAGGGAGATAGAAAATATCTTCCCAAACTAAAACACCTGATAATGAACAGGCTAGTCAGAGGGAGGCACAGGACATGTCAGAACCTTTATTTGTCAGGACTATGTAGGTTGCAAGTGACAGAAACCAGACTGGGTCATGTGCCCATCCCTGGACCAATTATAGTTTCTAGAGCATGGTGCACCAACTCTGGGGGGAAGAGCACCAAATTCACATGGAGTGTGGGAGAGAAAGACACACAAAGAAGAGGGAGTAAAGAAGTGCTTACTCTTCAAACAGTGTCCCCAAACCTAACAGAAAAAGAGGCAAGGTCAGGTGCATGGGGGGAGGGTCCTAACGAACCGTAGGTAGAGGAGTAAAGGTCACGATAAGCTCAGTTTTAAACACATTCAAGTCTTCATGTCAGTCTCCAGTGTAGATGTTCTAAAGGCAACTGGAAATGGGTCACTAAAGAAGTAACAAGATTTCCAAGTCACCACCACTGATGCGAACAGTTTTGTGAAGACTCTTTCTACATTGAGGGACAAAGATCTACCTCAAATTACTTTAAACCAAGCAACTGAAAAAGTCTAGGGCAAAATGCAGAGGCTTCACGGGATCTAGATGGTGACAGGTGTCTGTCTTGCTCCCTCTTCTCAGTTCTACTTTGTCTGTGCTGACGTCATTCCCAGATATGCCCTTCCCGCAGGCAGTCTGAGCATTCTTCCACCCAGTGAGCAACACCTGTGGAGAGCACTGCCCTCACAATAGTCCCAGAGAAGGGCCTGGTGCTCTTTGGACTACCTTTTTGTCACATCTGGAAACAATTTCTATGGCAAGAGAGGAAAAAATACACGGATGGACCAGCGCCGGATCGTATGTCCAAGCCTGGAGCCAACAGAAGGGGCTAGCAGAAGTAAGCCAACTGAAAGTGACAGATGAACATAAAAAGTCCTTCTTTCCTTTTTCCTTTGACTTCATCCCAGTTTCAACCCAGTATGTCAACTGAGGTGCCCTCTACCTTCTGCTGGGCACTCCATGACTGCTCGCTGGCTTACTCGCCCAAATTAAATTTGTACATCCATTTCCTTGTCACCATAACATAGGGAGTGGCTCCACGTCCTGGGCCCCAGTTTGACACCAGTTCTTCCCTGATGAAAATCCTGATGCGGCCGATTTTCCTCCAAATGTGTGCCAAACATACTATATTCCTTTGATCAAAATTATGCAAAGAACCAGATGTTTGCTTTTCATTATCTTACAGGTAACAGTCAGTGTTTGAAGGAGCTTACGGGGTCTTTCACTGTCCTTGTCCTTTGAATTAATTCTGTTTTGGGTTGTGTGTTCCCACACAACCGTGTTATTTTTCTCAGATTATTTTCTTAGATTGAACTGGAACATACTAACATGGTCTTTTCGTTTTCTATTGCTACAGTAACAAATTGCCATACATTTACAGGCTTAAAACAACACTCATTTATGATTTTGTAACTTCTGTGGGTCAGAAGTCTGGGCAGAGCAGGGCTCAAGGGTTTTTCTCTGTTCCAGGTCTCATAAGACCAAATCAAGAGTTGCATTCCTTTCTGGAGGCTCTGGGGAAGAATCTACTTCCAAGCTTTTTCAGTTGTCAGAATTTCATTTCCTGCGGTTGTAGGATTGAGGTCCTTGTTTGCTTGCTGGCTGTCACCCAGGGACTGCCCCTAGCTCTTCAAGATCTCTCTTCGGTCCCTGCAGGCGCGTCCCTGTGCTCAGAGCAGGTAACAGCACTTCAAGCCCTCCTCACACTTGGAGTCTCTCCCTTGGATTCCTTCTCCCGCTACATCCTATATTCCACTGCATGTCTTTGACTCCAAGCAGAGTTCTCTGCTTCGAAGGACCCACCTGGATTATCCACATCCATAATCTTAACTGCAGATGCGAAGTCCCTCTTGCCATGCAAAGAAACGTATTCACAGGCTCCAGGGAGCGGGGCCTGGATATCTTTGGGGGCCATTCTGCCTATCACATATAGCTTATCAATTTTGTTCTGTATCACTTTCTCCACTCCAAAGGAACTCATACCTTCGATGTAAGAGGGTACTGAATTTGGGGATTCCATTATCTAGTCATCAGAGTGGTGTATTCAGTTGTGAGGTAGGGATAATTCATCTGACTTTTCAGAGTTTACATGAAATATCTTCCCAAGCCAATTTTTACTCTATGCTCACCAATCAGCATTCTGATTATAATTCACCTCTCAGGTAACCCTAGATATCATGAAGGAACTTCTCAGGATAGAGAATGCAAATAATTAAGTCAATAGAAACTCAAATAAATGAATATAAGTATAAAATGATATGTAAATGTAAATTAAAAATACATATTAAAATAAAATGACGACACTCTGATATCAACTGGAATTGGTAATATCCATCAACAACTAAAAGAATGGTCGTGTCTAAGAGGACTTAAAACTTTCAGCATTCTCACTCTGCTACAATGGCCTCACTGAGGCGCTCCTGTGAGAGAGGTGTCACCAGAGCCATACAGGAGCCCCATTATCTCTTCACCAAATCACCATTGAAGAAAGATATTGGAAGATAATTTCTACACAAATGCTGACTGACATAAGCATAGAAGCTTCTTCAAGAGCAAGTAGGGATGGGGGCGCCTGGGTGGCTCAGTTGGTTAAGCGTCCGACTCTTGATTTCAGCTGAGGTCATGATCTTAGGGTCATGAGATCGAGTCCCGTGTGGGGCTCCGTGCTCAATGCAGAGTCTGCTTGAGATTCTCTCTCTCCCTCTCCCTCTGCCCCTCCCCCATTCTCTCTCTCTCTCTCTCTCTCTCTCTCTCTCTCTCTCTCAAATAAGTAAATATCTGGGGGGAAAAAAAGAGTAGGCAGGGATGAAGAGAGGAGTAATGGATGTCTCAACCAGGGAGGAATGAGCCATTCTGTAAGAGGTGCTACTTTCCTAGCCTGCTTCTCTTAGTATCTTGACTGTAATTGTTAAAGAGATTCACCTGGCATCTCAGATTTCTGGAGATGTTCTTTATCAATGGCTTTACAAATATAACTAAAGAATTCCACACAGCAGAATGGAAACCAAACCCACATACATACACACATGCTTATACGTGTATATGCATATGCATATACTTGTATATTTTTTATATATTTAAATATATATATATTTAAATAGGATTCTATGTGGACTTGGTGTTAATTTACAATCCCTCAGGTCTCTGTTACCTCTCATGCTATTTGTGTGGCCAATGGGTCTGCATCAGAGTCCTAAACCCTGCCCCCTTTGTATCCATATCATCTTGGTTTTCAAGCAGCCATATTTTTACATTATCATTTGACACTATAGTGGCAGAAAGATTTTCCCTTCTTCTCTTTGGCTGGTCTAATAACTAAACTGACATAAGACAAATTAACAGGAGAAAAATAAATTTAATTTCATACATATGAGAACCCCCAAAGATATGAGACTCAATGGTAGTCAGAGAATTGAGGCTTAGATGCCATCCTAAGCTAGGCAATGGGATAGGGGCATGGGCCTTCCAAGTGTGTGTGGGGGGGGGTGGGGGGAAGGCAATTCACAGAGAGATAACAAGAGCTGATGTTTGCTAATCAGATGTTTGTCCTGCCATGCAAGCAAGTCTTTCAGATAAAAAAAAAGTTATCTCTGGTCATAGCTCTCTTTCTGGGCCAGGCCTCCTCTCTAAATTCTTTAAGGCAGTTAAGGGATGGGTAAAAGGTTTTCCTGAGCCCGCTGACTCTTGGCTGCCTTCACCTCGAAGCAATCCACATGTTAAAGTGGTCCATTGCGGGGCAGCATACTCTGCTCCCCTTCTACGCCAAATACTACTTTTCCTTATTGATCACAACTCAACTTATAGGACGAGTGTGCCCCGGCCACTGCTTCATCACCTCCCATCCGAATTCTTGCAACAGTACTTCTTGTATTACTATGTTATTCTCTTAAGTTTTTTTTTTTTACTTTTTCTGTACTTGTGTGTTTATTGTTATTTATTACTGTATTACTTTTATCACTCGGCAAGAATTTGTGAACTCTCTGCAGACTCTTAAATCACCAATTGAGGAAGAGAACCAGCAGGTGAAAGAGGAAAGAAGAGCCATTTGCCAAACTCCAAATGCAGCCAGACACCATGAATATATCATAAACAGGTCGACTGCCTAGGACTTTCATAAACCTTGATTTTCATTAGATTCCCCTCCAACTTTTTCATAATCTAGGCTTCCTGCCCTGTGTTAATTATATTTCTGACCCAAAACCAACAAACTAAGAGGCTGCATGTTGTGATGGAAAGTGTGCTGGACCAGGAGCCAAAAACTGTGAGGTTTAGGGCCAATTCTAGAGCTAACCAGCTGTGTGACCTTGAACAAGTCACTTCATCTCTCAGAAATGTCGTCCCCTCACTTTTTCAATGAATAGCAAATGAAATTACGTCTATAATTTCTTCCCAAAGTTATGTCATTCTTTGATTCGGGTTCTCTTTATTCTTTTTTTTTTTTTAAGATTTTATTTATTTATTTGACAGAGAGAGACACAGCAAGAGAGGAAACACAAGCAGGGGGAGTGGGAGAGGGAGAAGCAGGCTTCCCGCTGAGCAGGGAGCCCGACACGGGGCTAGTTCCCAGGACCCTGGGATCGTGACCTAAGCCGAAGGCAGACGCTTAATGACTGAGCCACCCAGGCACCCCCGGGTTCTCTTTATTATTACTATTGATACACTGTATATAACAACATCGTCTACAATTCTTATACACCCGCCTAAGTTTTTTTTATTTTTATTTTTATTTTTTATTATCATGTTATGTTAATCACCATACACTACATCATTAGTTTTTGATGTAGCGTTCCATGATTCATTGTCTGCATATAACACTCAGTACTTCATGCAGAATGTGCCCGCCTAAGTTTTTATTACTATTTTTTGCTAAACATAAATTAGGATTCATGAGCTATCTAACACTAAAAATGAACACTACATGCAATTTCAAAAACAATTTTCTTAAATTTATTTGAGGTACGATTCAGGGAATGAGGTATTTGACATGCCACGGTGCAAATAAACCTTGGTTTTAAAACCCAGCAAATAAAAACTGGATCTGAAAAGCTGGAGCTAAGACTGGCTGGGGTCCATCATCTTTATGAGAATAGAGGGACTTAGAACATAGCATTTGCCTAAGAACTGGGCAGATAATCTGAGCAAGAGGGCAGGGGGTGGTAAATTGGTGGGAAAATTAAAGATGCATTATCCCCAGCTGTTGGATTTTTCACGCTGTTGAGTTTTGAGGTTACAGCGTGTAACTCGAATATGAAACATCACTGGGAGGAAGAGAACTCATTTAATATTATGTTAGTTGTAGAATTATAACTAGGTGTAAAGCAAAGAAAGTAGTTATCTATTATTCATTCCTTCTGAATAGACATCTCCTGTCTGTGAATACAAAGCATGATTAGAATTCACTTGCCGAAACTCGGGAATGCTACAAGAGAACATTTCGTTTTCATTTGATCTGACCTTGTGTATGATAATGGAGCTCCTTTAAAACACTGATGCTTGTCTTTTCTTCTTAGATTGCACCCCGGAGAATTATTCCTACCCCTGGCCTCCCAGGACAGGAAATTAACCTTAGAGGGTGTCAGAGACTTGTCCGAGTCATGCCAACACTGTCTCTTTAGGCAATCTGGAAGAGATCTGGCCACAAAAACCAGTCAAGTTAGTTATCTGTGTAGCTATATGTGACTGCCTATATGATAAGAAGAGTCTGTCACTGACATCTGAGCCCACCAACTGGAAACTGGCGTGTCAGACTGACCAGAAATTAACATACCTCCTTGCTCTATCCCAGTATCGCTAGCTGCTGAGGGAACCTGAGAAGGTGGCTTCTCTTTAGAATGGTGGTAGAAAGGAAGAGTCCCAGTTAGAGATGTTGTACAGGACACAGGTGTATGGGACAGAAACATACTGGACATCGGTGGGCCAGCCATAGTGGATCAGACACACCTGAGTCTCAGACTCAGCAGCTAAATCAAGTGCCCTGTCTCCTCACCAAGGCTTTGATCTGAACCAAAGCATAAAACCCCAAGCTGCAAAGAAAGAACCTCAATAAACAGAGATAAGACTCCCCTTGGTTTTCTTCTTTCGTTTTGTTTTCTCCAATTATTTTATGCAATAAATCAACTTTAAAATTCAGTCAGTTTTGACCTAGAATCTAATCTACTCATTTTCTAAAAAATTATTAAATCAAAACATAATCTCATTGTATTGATGTGTCATCCAGTCCAGGCCCTCCATAAGCTGATGGCTAGATGGGTAGATAGTTGAGTGGATGGGAGGATGCATGGATGGATGGACGGATGACAGATGGATAAATGAAACGGATGAATTCCCCTCCCTGGACTCTAGTTACGGGCTCCAACCTCTAAAAGTATAGAATTCATATAGATACCCCTTTGCTAAAATCCTGCACTGATTAAAAAGTGAATGTAAATTTTCTCTGATGAGCTTTTTATCATGTTCAGAAGAAGAAGTCTGATATAAAGTAGTAAAACAAGAATAAACAAACCTATAATTTGGAGTAGCAGCTCTGGGGACAATAACAAGGTTTTCCAATCTCCCAGATCATAATTAACAGTGTAAAGAATTAAAGGGAAGTTCAGGAAGGAGTGCTTAAACCTTTTTGTAAATTTAAAAACAAGTAATGATCTCCATTGCTGTTCTCCAGGTTTATTCAAATTTGGACAATTAGGACAATTAAACATAAAACAGAGACAGTTCTAAAGAGGGAGCTGCAACAAAGCAGAATAATTGCTGGTACGGGCTATCAAATTTACATAAAAAAAGATTAAAAAGCTGATTTACATTTAAAAAACAAGATCAGGCAACATCTAAAATAGATAACACAACCCGCTGAGAAAAGCTCTTCTCATCAATAAAGGAGAAGCAAAGGTGATTATACATAACAAAACTAATCTTCTATATTGCTTTAATCACCTAAAACCACTTTAACTGTTTATTTGGGAACTGTTAGGTGAAAAAAAAAATATTGCATGTAAAAGTGTCTAATTTCCAGGTTGCAATAAAACAGACACCATCAGAACCCTGCTTACACATCCTCTGTTTATCACCTGCTCTCTCCTCTAGATCCTGTCTTCTCTTGGTTATCAAAGTTTGCACCAATTACAAACCTACCCTACTCATTGTAGAACTTGAAAATTTGCCATGTAATTGGTTTAACAGATGCTTCCAGAATAGCAGTTCTGTTTATTGTTACAACATCTCATGAACAAAGTAGATTGTAAAGCCTTTTCCTTCCTGGACTGAGCATCTACGTGGCATTTTGAACTTTTTTTTTTTTCAAAACAAAGAACATAATTATCTGAATTTCAATATGTGCCATGACCAGATCCTTTGTTAATATTTGCTATTATGTAGGGTTTTTTGTTTTTCAAGAACAGTTATTTATTCATTAGTTCAGTACTTTCATGATTTGAACTTAAAGAATCAAAAACACTTAAACAGATCTCAAAATTGGGGGCTCAACTGCCATTAATATACATCAATGTTCTTAAAGCTTCTTGTGAAATCACCCTAGAAGTTAAGAATAAAATTACAATTATCCCAGTCCCGATTATAACTTAGGCTAGGATTAAAAAAAAGAAAAAAAAACTTAGGCTAGGAAAAAACAGACAAAATCTAGAAATTGGGATAAATTGATAAATTCCCATTTCAGTTCCTTCATAAAGAAGGAATGAAATACTGATGATATCAAGAGATTTTAATATACCAAGTGATGGGATTCAAGGCATACTACCCCAAAATATGGCCCCTCTGTATATTGAATATCTTAAGCTAAAGGAGTCTGAGAAACAGCAAGTGTAGGAAGGACTCTCTGACCTCCCCCTTCTCCCTGCAGCAGGTTGTAAGACCTCGAGTTGAGAGGGGGCCCTCCCTGGCTCCAGAGGAAAGGAGCAGCCTTGTCTCCAAAGAGGAGCAATCCGAACAAAAGGGCCTTGCTAAGTTTCCCTCAGGGTGCTACCTTTAGCTCACACCCCTTTGTCCTATCACATTTCCCCAAAGCTTTCAAATCTTTATCAAACCTCATATAAAAACACTCGGGGCCAACTCTTTCATTTCCTTATGAAGGCTCCCATGTCACATAAAACTCACACTAAACTATTAAATGAATGTGCATGTTTTTTCCTTGTTCCTCTCTCTGCTGTTACAGGGGCCCCAGCTGAAAACCTAGAAAGGTAGAAGGAAAAAATATTTTTCTTCCCTACACAACAAACCACAGATCAAAAAACAGGAATAAAAGCAAAATCGAAATTTAAGACAAGAAAGGAGAAGATAGATTTGATTTTAAACAAGTTTTTACAAGTTCTCCCAAAACTCTACAAAAATGCTCAAATCCCTATAGCCCCTGTTGCACGTGCCTACTGTGTGTTACTTATGATTGCATGTGTTTGTGGATCAAATAGCAAGTATTTGTATGCTATAAAAGACTTTCTAGCCAAGCTGGGCATCACTTTTTTTCTTATCGAATGAATCCGATTTCCCACTCATTTCTATTATAAATAGGAAATGTGATCCCACAGGAAACAAAGGAAGAGAGATTATGGCAAAAAAAGAAAAAAACAACAGATATGGTAAGAAGGTGGTCAGCACTGTGGCCTCTCCTGAACTGTGGTCCCCAGTGTATTGAATTCCCCCAAAACAGAAAACATCACGTACCTTTACCGTGGAACAGCATCGGTTAACACTTCCCCTTGTCGGGTCTCTACATTTGTAACTTCCTACAGCTGATTTATTTAAAAGTAACTCCTATTAAAAGTATCACAAAAGGTAGAAGACAAAATAAAATTTAAGACAAGCCATCAACCCTCACACATACAGAATGAAACAGTAGCATAACAAGAACTCCTATAATAATAGGATTCCAAAACTTAAAACCTCCACGGGTACTTGTGGTTATACTAATGCATCTCTTTCCCTGGGAATGGTCCTAAAGTACTTCCTAAGGATGAGAGAAACCTAGGATTGGATCCAAGATAGAGAGTAAGCTAAAACTAGGTTATACCTTCAGTTTCGCCACTAATGTTCTCTAGGACTTGGGCTTAGAGGCTGAACCTCGGCGCATCTTAGCTCACCCTTCAGCCAAAGGACCTCGCTGGCTTTCCTGCCAAGCTCCAGGAGAAATGAAAAGATGAACTAGAAACGGCAAGTCACCCTGGATCCTTTAGATAAAGGTCCTATAAATATTTATTACTGTTGTTACTTCACAGTAAAACATGCTGCAGCCCCAGACACGACTATTTCAACTATACACACAATGCTACCAGGAAGAGAAGACAAAAGCTTGCTTTCACTAAGTACCATATAAACAGGAATTAGTCAGCATCCACCCGCGTAATATTTTTAAATGTCCACAACATGCTCATATATGGAATATATAAAGATACAGCCTGTACTTTAAGAAGTATGCAAGGTAAAAAGGAAAACGATGAAAACATACAGAATAATAAAACATATAACAAGAAATGCTATAAACAAAAGAACAAACAATATGGATGGCTCTTAGAGGGGTAAAGACGAGGGAAGGAGGCCAGATTACATACTGCACGGTTCCCTTTTATATGAAGTTCAAGAATGCATGCAACTAGTCTATAATTAGAGGTCAGAATTGCGGTTACCTCTTACTGGCGGGTGGATGCTAATGGACTGAGAAGGAGCATGGGGTGCTGGAAACGTTCTAGATCTTGATCCAAGTGGTGGTTTCTGGGGAAAATACATATGTAAGAATTCATCAACCTGCACACTTAAGCTGTGTATGCCCTTTATGTATGTTATACCACATAATTTTTTTTTAATTTTTTAAATAAAGAAGGGCTACGGGAGCCTTAAATTTGAGTCTAGCTCTGTGGAATGGATGCATGAATGTCAGCGAGACGTAAGAGTGACTGGAGTGGCCAGAGCGGGGCAGGGTCCCTCAGATATTGTTTTAGGTTTCTGTATGGTGAGGGGCTTGATTCGGCAAAAAAGAAGGGAGAGGGCATTCCCCAAAAGAATAACAAGAAGTTCCCAGATAGTCCAAGACTAACTACTAGGTTTGCAAGTCATCACAAACACTATAGACCAAGGACTACAACCAAAGGCTCAAGGATGAAAGATCTGGCCAAACGCTCTCCGCAGAACAAATGGCAAACAGTTTTTATGACTCAAGAATTTGGGTGACATAAGCTATCCGGAGACAGTTTAGGGTCAGAATATTTAAAGTCTTCTCACGCTGGTGAAAGTCAGAACTCAAACAACTGTTCAGTCCACAGACATCTCAGATGCAGTCATCAAAATGGCGTCTCTTTCTTCCAAGAGCATCTGAGAAGCAGCCACTGCCAAATCCACTGCATGCACGGAAGAGGAAGAACATCTTTCTCTCTCCACCTCTCACACTTCCCATCCTTCAGCAAAAAAGTCAGGAGAAAGGCTGGGCTTCCTGAAGCACAGCTTGAGATGGGAATTCAGGGGTGCATGATTTATAGAGGACATACGCAAAAGTAAAAAGCTGTCAGAAGGTGAAGGGAGCCGGCAGGGGAAGGAGGGCATCAAGAGGGGAGGAAGGCAGGTGGACCTGCCGAGGTGCTGCCCTTTAGAGGAGGAGTTTTGCCTTCTGAGCCCTCATGGCAATCCTTTACTACAGGATGGGTGGAGAGACAGTAGCCTCCAATAAAGAGGTTCCTGTTGGCCCACGGCAATTTTTGGAGAAAGGGAAGCTGGGGATAATGTGCCAGACTGGTGGAAGGATGTAGGCTGGGCAGTGGCCACTACAGAAGCTACCAGAGCCCTGCTCTCATCCTCACAGTAGCAGGTCATGCTGCCTATTAGACCAGCCATGATACTGTCCTCAGGACCTGCACAGTCAACTTCTCAGAAACTTGTTTGTTTTTCCTACAAAAGAAATCTCATCTCCATATCAAAGATGCAGATGGGTTTTGGTGATACTTCGTATCTCCGGTGTTAACACTGATAGTAAAACAATGTGATGATCATTAGCATTAGGCTGTGGTAATAGGCTCAAGTCCACTTTCAGAAATGAATTCCCTTCAGATCCCAGGAAGTTTGGGAGGAACAGAGAAACAGAATGAAAGTTCGGGAGGGGGACAGAAAGTGTCTTCTCTCAAGCTAGAAATCATAGAAATTGAATTAGATCATCTCAAATTGAGGGACGAAAAGCCACTTATAGACCCATTTCACAACACTGGCCGACATGGATTCCATTTGGGACTCACAGAGAGCATGACTTACTCAGAGGTCTCCTCTGACAATGCAAGCCCTTAACATGAAGACATGTGTAACGTTCCTGGAGGACAGAGGGAAGAGCAGAATCCCACGATTTGCCTAGAGAGCAAACTGAGCGTCAGGCATATGCATTTCTGAAGGCTACTCTCAGTGTTTCTGTGAAAATCTGCTTTTTGCATAGCTCAAAATTCATAAGATCCCATTCTCTTTCCAGACACAGTCAACACAATCAAACCATTTTAATCTCAACCCTAGGGCAACAGATCAAAACTAGAACCTAATTAAGTATTCGGTAACTGGATCAGTCAGGACTCCAGCGAGGGTCCCTAAGGAGATGCTCATGAAGAGTTTATTTGCGGGTATGGGTAGGGTTAAAAGAACCTTACAGGGATGGTGGGGCTATCAACACCAGGGCTGCTACCAGCCCTAGGTGAGGGGGGAGGGAGCTGCCCAGGGGGGCGGGCTCCAGGAGAGGACGGACACCTTCTGGGATAGGGCTGGGCAAATGAATACCACAACCACTCTCTTCTGCCTTCCAATTACCTGTCAATGCCACCCTTTGTCTGAATCCATCCAGAAGCCGGGGAACCCAGCCAGGTCTGCCCAATAGAGTCCACACAGGGCAAGAGCAGGTTGGAGAAAAGTAGAGAGCAGATCTGGGGCAGCAAGCAGATAATATCCAACTCCCCTACACATGGAGCTGATACCTTTATAAACAGGTTGGAAGTTACAGTTTTAAGGGAAAAAAAAAAAAAGTCGTTCCCTTCAATGTATTCCTTCTGGGATACAATACATTCCTTCTGCTTCATGTGTTATTGATAATAACAACAGCCATATGCCAGGCACTGTACCAGATGATTTACTGTTAGTTATTTTATGTTATTTAACCCTCATCATAACTCTGTGTGATGGATAAAATCAGGTTCATTTTGCAAATGATCATCTTGAGGCTGACAGGGGGCCAAGTACCCGGCTTCACAGGGAAGCATTACAGGAGTCCAGGAGAGACCCAGGACGCCCCGATGTCCAAGCCCTCGGGCTGTCTGCTAGAGGGAGCTCTAGCAAACATGCTGCCAGGGCTCAAAACACTTTAGAAGTCCTCCTCTGAGTTGCTTTCAGAGTGCTTTTAAAAGCCCTACCCCCAACCCCAAAATCAGTCGCTTTACTTTATAGTCACACATTTTTAACAACAAAAGAACATGGTGATGATTCATCCTCACCACGTTCACCAGATACAAGGCCAGATGATGCCTGACTACTCCTAAAAGTCAAATTAGATTCACCCTCAAAGGACTGAGGATAACAGAAGTAAGCTTTGAAAAATAATTCCAAGAAAGAAGGCTCAAAAACAACATCTGTAAAGCTGGACATCCCAATTCAGAAAGCGATGCCTTTAAAACCAGCAGCGGTTTTCCCACAGAGGAATCCTAGGCCTCCAAAAGGGGCCCACAGCTTATTTAGAGGACCAAGGAAATTGGAAACAACCTAAATCTCCCAAAATAGGGCAACAAGTAATTTAACGTAATCGTGCACCACCTAACCTCTCTCTGCCCCACCCCGCCCTTCATCGGATGGAAAACCAGCAAGGGGCAGGAACTGGCTGCCTTGTCCAACAACTCTACCCAGCTCTGTGCCCTGAGCCTGCACGTGGTAGACCCTCAGGAGATATCCACTGAATGAATGATGCAATGAATGAATGAATGAATGGAATTCATCTTCCTTCCTAGAACATAACCTTTGTGTAAACATCCCACACCCTTTGGTGTCATTCTGTATGAAGAAGAAGTGATAATGATGAACACAAAGTGCTTTGTTCCCTTCCATATGAGACCAGCAAATCATCTACAGAATTATCTATGGGAAAGTAGGAAATAAATAACTCCCTACTCATCTCATCCTCTACACTACACCCCCACACCAGCTTCCCTCTCTCCCTCACACCCTCAAGTGTCAAAACAATCACCAGTTCTGTTTGGCAGACATCAGGCATCCTTTCCTTGCGAGGCCATCCAAAAAACTAATGAGTATTATTACATCTCCTCCACAGCCATATAATCGGCTAATACTAAAAGTGCTAAGAGAGATGGCGTTTTGCTGGTTCACATCTAAAATTTAGACAATCAACCATGAATGCCTCAGGCTGATCACATGCTGGGAGAAGCAATAATAATACGTCTGGCCAGATTTCCCTGCCAACTGGAAGGCCCAGGTTGGGGAGCAGATGTGCTGTGGAGGTGATACATTTGGTTTTCAGTGGGGAGGGTCTGTGGGTCTCATCTGTCTTCCGCACCCCTACTGGTCAGCTCAGAGCTCAGCACTAATGTCGGCGGCTTAAGGACCCGCTCTCCTGTGTACTCTCCCGCCACAGGGAAGGAAGCCCGCCCTCCGGAGCACTCAGCCCCACACTGTTCTGTGACCCTTAGTGGCATGCAGGATTTTGCTCCCAGGCTCCTTTTCACAATGGAGTCAACCCTTCCTTTCCCCACAGCCCGAGTTTGGTGGCATTCTCTTGGGTGATTTCAGCGCACCCCACCCCCCACCCCCGCTATGCTAGGGAATCTAGCTCCTGCATATGGAATCAGCCGGCAGATTCCATGTGGGCTGGAAACCACGCATG